GTTAAAGGAGGAAAGGTTTATTTAGCTCACAGTTTGTAGAGATTTCAGTCCATAATTGGCTGGCTCCAAGACAGGGTGGCATGGCAGATGACACTGCAGAGGAGAAGCAGCTCATAGTGGGCAGAAGGTAACAAAGCAACTGAGAAATGAGCACTTTATACCTTACCCAGGTTACTTAAGGGGAGTAGCACTCACAGCCTTAATCCTAGCATGCTTGATCCTAGCATTGTATCATGAATTGATCCCTGTGTCACACACTCTAGATCCAGCCACTTATGAGAAAGTCCCACTTATGATTGCATGAGGCTTTGGCGTGAGGGAAATCTAGACACAAGCCATAACACTTACAAAAAGACATGATTACAGCAGAGAAAAAAACTCTTCCCACAGTAGACTAATACATATAAATGAGACTCAGTATGTGTAAATGAAAGATTTTGTGCTACAGAGAGAGTTATATTTGTATAGTTAAAGACAAAAGTGCTCAGCCCAGCCATATACAGTGGTACATGCTTCAGATTCCAGTTACTGAAGTGGGGGAGGCAGCAGCACCGCTGATCCTAGAAGCTCAAGATCAGACTGAGCAATGTATCCAGATCTCATCTCAACAACAAAAAAGGCAAAAAGCAAAAAAAACCTACTTGGTCCAAAATAATTTTCACTTATAATTTGGGTTATACATTGTATCTGACAGCTATTGTGACAATAAGGCTGCTTCACAAACCATCCAAAATTCAGTGGCTGTTATTGTCACACATGTGCAGTTGGAACAGGGCTTGGCTGATCTAGACTTGGCTTGGCTCCAAGGTAAAGCTTTGGTCTTAGTCTCCTCCCCTGCTTGTCCTTTTCTAGTAGACTGAGGCACATCCTTCTCATGTGACAGTGGCAATGCCAGAGGAAAAGCTTGCATTCAAATACAAGCTCCTTTCAAATCTTTGCTTGCATTATGCCTATTGGCATCCCTCTGCTAGAGTAAACATCAGTGAGATGGGGAAGAAAAATTCTCACAGAGCAGAAGAGAAGGGGAATGAATATTGAGAACAATGACATAAACCATTACGTAAGCTAAGTGCCATGTCGTTGTCCATCAGATCCGACATGTGTGTCTCTCTGTCAGCCGCATCTGCCAACAGTGGCTTAAACCAAGCAGTCACGAGTCTGTTAAATACAAGGCATGTCAGGAAATGATGTGTTCATTTCCACAAAAATTTTCCTTCCACAAACTTGCATGAAAGACAAAACTGACAGTGTCCTTGCAGTGGTTTCTTGAGATGAAATTGCCTGGTGTGTCATCAAATTCCTTTAATTTCTGCAACCTAATCTGAGACAACTATGTGCTGGGAATGATAACCCATAGATGCTGAATAATCTATCATGATGCATCCAGCAAAATGAGGCTCTTGGGATCTATAGTATAAAATGAGGAAATGTAACCAAAGCTGATAAATTAACATTTAATGAGGTTCACATTAGTTATTTGAAATATCATGTAAATTCAAACTTGTTAGTATCCTACCACCTGGCTGGTCAATTGATCCTTACCAGAAATGCTGGAATATAGAAATTTTATTTATCTCTATTTTGTTTTGTTTTGTTTTGATGCTGGGATTGAACCCAAAACTTTGCATGCTAAATCCATGCACTATCACTGAGCTCCACCCACACTCCTCTGGTCTCTTTTCTATTGCTGTTTTGCTTTTCTAGTGCTGGGGTTTGAACCCAGGGCCTTGTGCATGCTAGACAAGTGCACTACCACCAAACTACAACCCAGCTGTCTGGTTTCTTGATGTGGCACAGATGCTGATAAAATGTCTCATGGTACAAGTGTAGCCCATTTCCTATCTTGGTGAATAAAGTTTTGTTGGAAACTAGCCACGCCCATTAGTTTGTATGTTGTCTGTCTGTGACAGCTTTCACTCTGTGAGGGTAGCTTGAGAAGGAGCAGCAGAAATTGCAGACTACAGAGCCTTCACACAAAGGGTGGCCAATCTTGAATTAACATAATGTGAGAGAGTTGGAATTTTGAAATTTGGGTTATTTACACAGATCTAACATGAATATTGCCCTTGAGTTACCCATAGGGAAAACTATTTATGAAGGAAATCAGTGATGTAAACAAATACTGCAGATAATTTGAAGCTATTTAAGAAAACAGTCTTTTTAATGCTTTAAGATTAGGAGTGCTCGTTTCCAAGTAGGCAGTTATTATTACACCAATTATAAGATTTGTATGGGATAGAGATATAAATCAGTGGTAGAACACTTGCCGAGCACGGGTGAGGTCCTGGGTTCAATGGCTAGAACTGAAAAAATAAAAAAAAATAGCGAATAAGTCTGTTTAGATCCTGACAAACTTTTAAATATTGCTTTGTTGTCAGGTATGAGGGCACACATCTGGCAACAAAGCAACACCAGAAATACTTAATACCAGAAAGAAAATTTTATAATTAGTGTAATAATCCCAGCACTTGGGAGGCTGAGGCAGGAGTATCACCCTGAGTTCAAGGTCATCCTGGACTACATAGTGAGTTCAAGGCCAGCCTGAACCATACAGAGAGACTCTGTCCAAACAAACAAACAAACAAACAAACAATCAAACAAACCTGCTTTCTTAACCTTTTATGGAGACAACTCTGTATAATAAATCAATGTTTTAAAAAATACACTTGTCATTACCTCAAACTTATCACTGCAGTAGGCCATCTCAATTCTTCTCATACACATAATTGTATCTGGATTCGTGTAGCTCTACCATACTGAATTCGTTAAGTATTTGAAAACACCAACCTCAATCTCTTCCTAGAGGTTGGAAAGACCAACGCCTTTTACCTTGCCAGATGCCACTCTTGAAAATAGTCTGACAACTTACAGAGAACCTCCAACTTCAGCTAGGTGTGGTAGCATACTGGGAGGCTGAGGGAGGAGAATTCCAAATTCAAGCCCAATTTGGACAATTTAGTGACTTACTGAGACCCTATCTCAGAAAATATAAAAATGGACTGGGGATGTAGCTTGGTATGACTGCTCTGGGGTCAGTACGCAGTACTGCAAAAAAAAAAGAAAGAAAAGAAAAGAAACGAAATTGGGCATGGTGTTGCACAACTGTAATCCTAACACTGGGGAGGCTGAGGCAGGAGGATCACTGTGAGTTTGAGGCCAGCCTGGTCTACATGGTAAGCTTAAGGCCAGCCTGAACTGGAGAGTGAGATCCTGTGTCAAAGAAAGAAAGAAAGAAGAAAGATAAATGAAGACTTGGACAGAAAGCATGTGAAGATATAAAGTAATAGTAGGCCAGGACATACTATAATCCCAACTACTTGGGAAGCTAAAGGAGGAGGATTATATTTGAAGCCAGGCTGGGCAATTTAACAAGATACTGTCTCAAAATAAAAGTTTACAAAAAGACTGGGAGCACTGACCTAACATGTGCAAGGCCTTGTTTTCAACTCTTAGAAAGAAGGAAGGAAGGAAGGAAGGAAGGAAGGAGGTAGGGAGAGAGAAAAAATACCTCAAAACAAATGACAATAAATGTTCAGATATTTCAGGTAGTTGAGTGGAATTGAAAAAAGGGAAATTTCTACTGGGTATTGAATTACATGTGTTTTTCTGTGTTCTGGCATTCACTTTAAGTCCTACATGCGGCCTCAGTAAGAGGCCTGGAAGGTGGAGGAGTTCACTCCAGTCCCTTCTCCACTCGGGGCTGGACTAAAACTCTCTGTAAGATTCAGCACCTAGACCTGGACTCTAAAATTGGAGGTTAGGTAAAAACAACAAAGGTGCTAGTGGACCCTACTCCTGAAAGGAAGCTGTCCCGGTAACCCTCAGGTAGGGAAAGAACCATGGGTCATCATGGGTTTCCTTTATAAGTCACATGAGTTTAGAATCCGTGAAATGACAACTGTGTGTCTCCAGGCCAGTGCAGTCCAGTTGGTTCAAATGCCCATCTTTTTGTTCCAGGAGCTGGGTGGCAGAATGTGCTGCTAAAGGGAGAAGAGGCAGCTTCGGGTGCTGCAGAAACCTTTGGCCCAGACATGACTATCAAGGTAAGGGATCTTTCTTGGGTGAATTCTCCAAGTGCATCCCTAGAGCAATGGGAGCCTAAGGCAGGCTTCTGTGGGGGGAGAATGAACACTGCTTCTCTACTCTGCTAGGGCTCTCTTTATTCAATAACTTCCTGGTTAGGAACCAGACAAGATTTCCTGAAATCTGGGAGTGGATTAAGATGCCATTTACAAGCCAAACCCCAGATATGATTTCCAGTAGATCCATTTGGGGTCTTCAGTGAACATCTGTCTACATGCAGACTATTCATAAGTGGTAGCCCTTGTGGGGTCGGTGAAGTAAATCTGAAAATTCTGAGCTAAGAAATGAGGTCCCTCTGTGCATTGTGAAGAAAGGTCAGAGAAACATAAAGTAGCTTTGATCTCGACTCAAAATTTCCACTGATGTCAGCGGGAAGGCAGCACATGGCCCACTCCCGCTGGAACGCTAACTGCCAAAGGTTTACAAAATGAATCATCTGGAAATCAACGAGATCGTCCTTGTTCAAATGAAATTTATAATTGCCTAGATTAAAGAATCTGTAGTGAAAGTTATCAGAGACTCAACCACTTCCCTTCTGTGACTGGATTACACAGAAAGGGAGAGTCTTCTTCTCCTTGCTGAAGCCAGCCTGCTGTGTTTTGGTTAACAAAGGCTGGAGGTGGGAGGGCTTTCTCACATTTTTGCATGAATGATTAGGATTTTACTGTGTATCTCTTCTGAATGTTTCTATGAAAATCAAAAAGCAGTGTCCCTTTTCTGTATTGATATATCTTGGAGATATTTCATGCCTGAGCTTATTAGAAGTTATACAAAAGAATATATAAGATGAAATGATTCAACTTTTTTTAATGTGAAGGCTGTATTTATGTGAGTTACAAAAGCTAAAGGCAAACTGGGGGTAGTGGAACATGCCTGTAACTGTAGCACTCCAGGGAGCTGAGGCAGGAGGATAACATATCCAATCCCAGCCTGAGCAACTTAGTGATTTAGTGAAATCCTGTCTCAAAAACTAATTAATTAGGGCTGGGGATATAGCTGAGCACCACAAGTGCCTGCCTGGCAAGCACAAGGTCCTGAGTTTGATTCCCAGTACCAAAAAACAAAAAACAAAAAGTCTAACTAATTAAATAAATAGGTAGATAGATAGATAGATAAATAGGGTGAAGATGGTGAAATTAGCAAGAAAGGCAGTTGTGGTGAAATTAAAAGAAAGATAGGATAGTAACCTGATTGGTTAAGAGTCAATTAATCTACATAATAACTATCCAGTGCTGAAAGTTTGTTTACCTATAACCATGTGTATCAAAAGTTGGAATAGTATAAATTTGGGGTGATACATTGGTGTTTTGTTGGCCATAGTGGCAAGGACTAAAAAGCTCAAGTCCAGAAACATGACAGAGGAAAATGGATGATGATACTAAAACTTGGTGGAATGAAATTTGCTATCCGGAAATGTCATTATTTGAAAATTGGCTTTTGAGATTTATTGCCAGTATAGCTGCAGATATGGTATAGTTGGATAAATATATGATCAGAAAGACTGGACTTGGTTTTCATAGAAGGAAATGATGTATTCTAATAGAAGCAAACTTCAGTGATTAAACTGGATTGCCCACTTGTTTGGAAGCTGCCTGGGAGTAAGTAAAGCCTGCGTCTGGGTGGGTGATGGAGGCATAACCTTAGGGACTACATCTGGTCCCTCAGCCCTTGCTCTCTGCTTCTTGGCCACCAGAACTAAGCATCTTTTCTTTGCCATGCCCATCTGCTATGATATTTCTGCTTTAGAGCCAGCCTACCATGCACTGGATTCCCTAACATCATTAGCCAAATTAAACATTTCCTTCGTTAAGCTGTGAGTGTTGAGTATTATGTCTCAGCAACAGGAAATCAGACCACTATGCAAGTCTTGTCCAAATTCCATTTTACAAAATTCATATTTAACCAGTGTACTCAAGCCTTGGTACCAGAAATTTGACTGAAGTATTTAGGCTCCCATAGTGTGGGTGTGATTCTGTCTCCCTTTCTTCTCTCCTTTAATAAATACTTGGCAATTTTGACCACATGTGGCATATACCTTTAATCTAGCACACAAGAGGCTGAGGCAGGGGTATCATGAACTCTATTCCATTTTCAGCTATATAGCAAGTTCTAGGTCACTCTGGACTGTGTACAAATATCTGTCTCAAACTGTATCCCCTCCAAAAAAATCGTAATAAAAAAAAGTACTTGAGGATTTGTTTTAAAGATTTAAACTTTTTTGTGTGTATGCTGAGGATTGAGCCTCATGCATGCTAAGCACATGCTTTACCATTGAGGTATACCCCAGCTCTCTAAATACTGTTCTATTCTGCATAACTATTTAAAGTATACAGTATTCATTCTTCAGAATGAATTCAGTTTTGTGAACTAAAAATCATCTCTTTATAAATAAATATGAAAGCGAGAACAAGATAAAAAGGAAGAGAGAACAGTTCTGCTCCTGTGTCTCTGGCTTTGCTGACCTTAACTATGGAGAAATGGTAACAATACAGAGTCAATGCAGACATGAATACAAAAATAACTGTTGGCTTCGCAAAATGACCCACTTCCTGGGAGGACTTTAAAAGAGAAGAGTGTTCAAACTCAATTGCATAGTGAATTGTAGACACAGAAGTTTCACCAGGTACCTCATATGAGGGAGGAAAAATTCAACTTCTATTTATTTTTTTTTCTGGTAAGAGACTCAAAATTTTATTGTATTTATTTATTTTTATTTTATAAAAATAGTAGAACAAAATTTCATAAAAATATAGTAGAAGAATAACAATAGTTAATACATATGATTATATTTAAAGTAGTTACTCAGAGTACAAGATATGAGCATAAAAAACTCTACAAACAATATTAGCAAAACCCTTTCTTTTCAGTGTACTATGAGAAACTAGTAGTATAACTATCTTGTATTTTTTTTTCCTTTTCCCTTCCCTCCTTTTCCCTTTCTCCCACCCTAGCTCCTTTTTTCTCTTAAACAATTTTTTTCCCATTTCACAATATCTAGTGTACATTTTAGACCTTATTTACTCTTCCAGTTTCTCACACTAAGGATACAACACAATGTTTACACATGTGAGTCTAATTTATTTCCCTTACGAGTATCGTCTCAAGTTGCATCCATTTACCTAAGTGTCTCAAGTTTATCCTTCTTTATGGCTATAGCTGCAGAATTTGCTCCTATGGTTAAAGATATCAGGTTAATGGTTACCACAGTTTGTAAGTACCTACGCCATACTTGATGCTATTCTTATTGCTAACTGTACTGCTTTAGCTAGGATGTCATACATGTTATAATTAGTTTTTCTCCCTTACATGATAACACTGTGATTGTATGGGGTCATAATCATCATCATAGTCCAGCACCAAGGACTGCATGCTGAACCAAACAGCAAATTTTCATCCTTAACAAATTGGGAAGGTATGTTCTTGAGATAAACATAAAGGACCATCTATATCTTGAACACATTCCTGGGCTGGGGATTTAGCTCAGCAGCACAATGCTTGCCTGGCAAGCTCGAGGTTGTGAGTTCAATTCCTGGTACAAAAAAAAGCAAACAAACAAACAACAAAAAAAAAGACATTCCTAAGGCACAGACATCTAGGGAAGCCTCAATAGTAGCAATAATGCTATCTACCATAAGAAAGTGGCAAATGCCAACATAGAAAACAAAATAAAATACGAATTAGGAAATGACAAGACACAGAAGCACAATGCAACCCTAAACCCCCCAGTCCACCCAGGACTAAGCCTGGAGCACAGTGAGATAGAGGAAGCTGGAAGTCAAGCACAGGGACTTTTTAAAATGAGAGCAGCAGAAGTGAAAAAACAAATGGAAAAGACTATAGAAAAAATAATCTCTCAGGTACAAAAAGAAATGACAATCAGAGTAAAAGATATTAGGGAAGACACAGATAAAAAAAGTAGAAGACCCTAGGAAAATGATGGAAACCATAAATGCCCATAATGAGTAAGGAATGGAATCCATGAAACAGATCCAAACAGAAATGCAAAAGATCAGAACCTCCACTGAGGGATGAGGATATAGCTCAGTGACACAGCACCTGCCTGGAAAGTGCAAGGTCCTGAGTTTGATTCCCAGTAAAAAATGAACAACAACAACAACAACAATGACAAAACCTCCACTGAAAGTATATACAATAGATTGAATGGAGGTGAGGATAGAATATCAGATCTAGAAGACAAGATTGCAACTAAAAAGCATGAAAAGAAAGATATCTTGAACATAGCAAGTTACTATGAAAAATCAATCCAGCAGCTACAAGATGAAGCAGAAAAGAACAACATAAGATTTATCAAGGTCAATGTGAAAACCAGAGACAGCACAAATGCCATTAAAAACCTCTTCACAGAAATAATGGCAGAAAACTTCCCAAATGTGGATAAAGAATTTACATACAAATAAATGAAGCATATAGAACTCCAAGCAGCCAGGACCAAAATAAATCTAGAGCAAGGAATATAATAATCAAGATTCCAGAAATTCAGCACAGAAACAGACTATTAAGAGCAGGTAGAGAAAAGAAATAAATCACCTATAATGGAAAACCTATTAGAATCATAGCAGACTTCTCAAAACAAGCCCTCAAATCAAGGAGAGTTTGCAGTGAAGTATTTCAAGCCCTAAAAGGAAACAACCTCCAACCTACATTGAAGTACCCTGTAAAACCCTTTCAAAATTGAAGGAGAATTAAGATACTTCCATGACAAAGAACACCTGAGGAAATTTATGATCATTGAACCAGCTCTTCAGAATGCTCTGAAGGTTATATTAGAAAGAGAAAATGAATACCACAATCACAAGGACATCAATAGAAAGAAGCCACCTAGCAGGGCAAGCAATTAAACAGAGGGAAAAGACAGGGAATCCAAAACAAGAAAATGATATGAAAAAGATAGGCTAATACATATCTGTCCTAACCATCAATGTAAATGGTTTCAATTCAC